TATACCCTCTGGTCTCCCCTTTTGTTGGCCGTATATGGCCTAAAAAAGCTGTACAAGAAGCCAACAATAAAAATAAAGGCATAGTAGACTGCAAGACTGCAGACACAAATGGATTACCAACAAAAGGACCAACAGAAATCTCTGATAAAAAGAAAGACTAATGTGATTTTCCCCAAAGGATCTCAGTTGTTTGAAAAATGGACCTGATGATATGAAGCACCTTCTTTGTAGTTGTATCTGACCTTTTTCTCTAAGACCAGAATTCTGGATAGACAATTTAGATATTACCTGGTACTAATCAGGAAATACATGGTATTTATATTTAAAATGAACTTAGTTGTATTTAATGACCTCATTTCTGAGTTCCTTTTCCATTAAAATAGTTCTCATTCCCTTATTACTGTTTTAATAATATGAATAAGTAGGAGATTTGTGCCTGTAGACCCTCTACTTAAAATCCTTGGTCCTTTAGCACTAGAATTTGCCATTTGCTGTAACTTAAAGAGTTCTAATTTCAAAAATTTTACTGTGAAATAGTACAATGATAATGATGTGAAAAGATGCAATGGAGTGTTCATAGGAGTAGTACCTGCTGCTTATGGCTCTGATGAAAATGAAAAAATTCCTTGATAAATGAAACATCTTTTACATATACATCTAATATATAAACTATAATCCTGTTGCATTCCTTCTGTACCTACAAATGCATTAAACATTCAGTTTAACTGGTGGTTCATTATTCTTTTGAAGTCTTTAGATACTTGAAAGGGAAATTTCTCACCAGGTCACAGAGCAGAATATTTTAGTATGATATATAATAGTGACTCAGCTGGGTAGTTGGAAACTGGTCTGGGCTCACTTATAGGGAGGAGTGTTCATCTTAGCCTTCTCTTCAGTGTGTAGGAATCAGCAATAGTCGAAGATGATAAGATAAACTTTTTTTTTTTTTTTTTCCCCAGCCCTGGGGATTGAACTCAGGCCTGAGTGCTTAAGGAAGACCTAAAGGGCATAGTGAAGGTTCTTTGATGGGAGCCAGAGGGGAAAGCATTTAAAGCATTTAGACCTAGAATTGGGAAGTGACAAGTTTAAATGGAAAGTGTTAAAAGTTCCAAAATTTTAAGTGAAAGGAGAAGTAGGAAGGTAAGGTCAGAGCTATTGAAATGTAATGGCCAGTGCATAGAGAAGTGTTCAAAAAACTACACTGAATGCTTGCTTCAGCAGTACATATACTAAAATTGGACTGATACAGAGATTCATGAACAAAACTATGCTGAACACTCCAAATGTGGGAATGTGGGACTTGTTGAGACCTTAGGGTACATTTAACCAATTTCATTTCATTAAGGGAGAAAAATAAATAAAAGCCATAGCCCCTGGTGTTAGAACAGGATAAGAAAGGAATCTCTAACAGAGCTGCTGCACACAGTTGTATTAAGTACTCACTGCCTAATTTTAGAAGGCCTCATTCACACTGACAACTAGGTCTGTACAGGACTTCCTACTTCTGAATTGTCAGTTCAAGTGACTGTCAAGCCCTGGTTTGTGTGGGTCAGAGGTCCCAGTATGATTCCGTTGGATTCTCTGCTTAGGTTTCACTGGGTTGAGTGAGATACAGATTCTGGCCAGGTCTGAGGCTTTCATCTGGGTCCTGTTCCATGCTCAATGCTTGCCACAGACCTCCCCTGGAGAAGAGAAACTCTAGTTTTATGGTTTGTTCTGGGGAAGGAATTAAAACCTCAAACAGTTGGTGAAAAAAATAACTTGTCTTTCTAACAATAGCATTCTCTCTCTCTTTCTCTCTCTCACATACACACACACACACAGAGTTGAGAGCCCACTGTGGATTTGTTTTTTGTCAGTCATGAGACTTGAACTCTTCAGTTCAAGGCAAGCCCTCTACCACTTGAGCTACAGCTCTACTTCTGGTTTTCTGGTGGTTAATTGGAGATAAAAGTCTCATGGACTTTCCTGCCCGGGCTGGCTTTGAACTTTGATCCTCAAATCTCAGCCTCCCGAGTAGCTAGGATTACAGGTATGAGCCATTGGGACCCGGCTACCACAGTGGATCTTAATCCCATGGTTTTCACCAATCAATGTCCCTTACTTCACTGAATTTAAAACCTGGCGTGTAGGGAAGCTGGCCTAGTGGTAGAGTGCTTGCCTTGCATGCATGAGGCCCTGGGTTTGATTCCTTAGTACCACATAAACAGAAAAAACTGTAAGTGGTGCTGTGGCTCAAGTAGTAGAGTGCTAGCCTTGAGCAAAAGAAGCTCAGGGACAGTGCTCAGCCCCTGAGCTCAAGCCCCAGGACTGGCAAAAAAAATAGAGGTTACATTCTCTAGGTGTCTTTTTGTTTGTTTTTGGTAGTCCTGGGGCTTGAACTCAGGGCCTAGTTACTGTCCCTAAGCTTCTTTTTGTTCAAGGCTAGCACTCTACCACTTGAGTCATAGCACTACTTCTGGCTTTTTCTGTTTATGTGGTACTGAGGAAACAAACCCAGGACTTCGTGCATGCTAAGCAAGAACTCTACCACTAAGCCACATTCCCAGTCCCAACGGTGTAATCTTTAAATACAAAGAGCCCCTCAGCATCGTCACTTTTTACCCCAAAATGGGTGACAGAATAATTTGACCGGGAAGGAGTAAGGGAGAAAGTTAAATAGATCGTCACACAGAAAAAGGTAAGATGATAGGTCTATATGAAAATACATGTTTTAGGGGCTGGGAATATGGCTTAGTGGTAGAGTGCTTGCCTAGCATGCATAAAGCCCTGGATTCAATTCCTCAGTACCATATAAGAAGAAAAGGCTGGAAGTGGCCCTGTGGCTCAAGTGGTAGAGCATTAGCCTTGAGCAAAGGAAGCTCAGGGACAGTGCCCAGGCCTTGAGTTCAACCCTAGCTACTCAGGAGCTGAGTTGTTTTGTTTGTTTTTGTCTGTCCTTGGGCTTGGGCTCTGTCCTTCAGGTCTTCAGCTAAAGGCGAGTGCTCTACTACTTGAGCCACAGAGCTACTTCGAGTTTTCTGGTGGTTTATTGGAGATAAGAGTCTCATGAGCCGGGGCGCTGGTGGCTCACGCCTGTAATCCTACTTACTCAGGAGGCTGAGATCTGAGGATTGTGGTTCAAAGCCAGCTCGGGCAGAAAAGTCCGTGAGACTCTTATCTCCAATAAACCACTCGAAAAACGGAAGTGGAGCTGTGGCTCAAGCGGTAGAGCGCTGGCCTTGAGCTGTAGAGCTGAGGGACAGTGCCCATGCGCAGAGTTCAAGCCCCATAACCGACAAAAAAAAAAAAGAGTCTCATGGACTTTCCTGCCTGGGTTGTTTTTGAACTGTGAGCCTCAGAGCTCACCTTCTGAGTAACTAGGATTATAGTCGTGAGCAACCGGTGCCAGAGCTCAGGAACTGAGATTTGAGAAGTGAGGTTTGAAGCCAGCTGAGCAGAAAAGTCCAGAAGACTCTTTTTTTTTTTTTTTTGTCGGCCGTGGTGCTTGAACTCTGGGCCTGGGCGCTGTACCTCAGCTCTTCAGCTCAAGGCGAGCGCTCTACCACTTGAGCTACAGCGCCACTTCCGGTTTTCT